GTAACAGGCCGTGGCGGCCAATCGGGTTATGAGACGTCGAGGCACCCACATTTTCTTGACAATCGGCTCGCGCCGGTGAGGTCAGCCTTACATGCTGGCCTCCCTTTACGCCCAGGAAGATTCCTGGTACTCATTTCTGTTAAAGGCTGAGACGACCCCAGGTCCATAGTACGACTGGAAGTATTAGGTCAATTGAAAATCCAATGAACTCATCGGGAATCGAACCCGCGACCTTCCGGCTTGTAGCATAGTGCAGGACGAACTGTTTCCATCGTTGAAGAGGTCTTCCCAAATTCCTTTTCCCTTACGGTTGATACTCCATGATGTTTAGGTACCCTGTCAGAGTTTATCATGTCGTATTCTTCCCAGTTCCTTCTGTATTGTCAGTTCTTTTATTTGTAGAATCTTCAGTTCTCTTGTAATTTCTCACTTTCTGTGTGTGTGTGTGTGGTGCAAAGTCATAATACAGACGGCATTTTAGATTTTTCCACTTTTTCCAAGTGCTACTTTTAGAGCACAGGAGCGTATTAGCCGTGACTTTTTCGCGTTAGCCTACTGTTGGCAGTGGAGAGACGTAAACTGTATGTGTTAACACTGTATAATAGCTTGATGTGCCCCTTCCTTCGTAGCCAACTTGCCCCACCTGCTTCGACTTGAGGCATAGTGGAACAGCCTCGAGGTACGAGGAACGCGATGTTTATCATCCGTAGGTTTTCATCTCCGTGTTACTTTAACAAGCTCGTGGGATCCCAAAGGACATCCATATCACTGCTTTACAGTAACACCGATGTGCGAATATCGGGTTCTTTTGGTGCCACTGCGAACCGTTGGCTGAATGGAGGTCACTGATCTGAGTGTACCGGAAGTTGCCAATCTCTTGTAGTTTCCCACATTTTGCCCCACAGGTTTCTGATCAAAACTTCAAACTGGGCTGGACTATATCCAGTGCTACTGAAAACAGTTTGTGTATTGTAATATGATGCAATGGTTTGTTTCGTTAAGTCGAGCAAGCATTCATGCTACACGTGTATTGGTAACGTAACTCTGACCTTTGCCATATGGCGGAAAGGACCCATCCTCATTAAGCAGAAGAATCAGACAGAGATCTACATGACTGGCTGTTAATGTTTCTGCTGTGATTTGGTATTAGAGCCAGGTAAATACGTCGACATAACAGTTTATATGGCTTGGATAACTCAGAGAAGGGAGGAGGCTACGTGTTAGACAACCGGCGTTTAACTCCCAGCAGGAACAGTGCTTTTTTTCTCTTTGCCACTGAGCCCAGACTGCCTCTGGGGCCTACTAAGCCTCCTGTCCATTGGACAGGGAATGAAGCAGCCGGGACACGAACCTGACCACTCATCTTGAGCAGGCGTGGCAACTTCAGAGTTCTTTAACAGTTTACATGAGAATTAGAACAATGCGTGAGTTCCCCTGTGTTTAGCTCATCGGACCGCGAGGCGGGAATCGTTAAGCAGTTTTCAAAATGCGGCCCCACATTAGGGAGTTCGCAGTAAAATATTTTCTGATACTCTATGGAAAGTATTATTAGCAGTTCTAATGAGACACTGGAAGCCAGCCATATTAGCAAACGCACTGGCTTGCGAAGGAAATTCCGAACCGTGTATCTGCACATTCCACTTGCGGTCTGCAAGTTGTATCGACGTGAGTGGTTCTCCTTTTTAAGGCGTAAATGTTTAAGATCCGTGGAACGAAATCTGAACGTTAAGTGAGTTTATTCTTATTCAATTCAAAATGCCTTCAGAACACAAAAGGTGATATACATGTGTGAAGTAAATGAACAATTTGGGGAGCAACCTCTTATCCAATGAATACCGGGGGCTCTTTCCTCGGGAGTAAAGCGGCAGGGACGTGAAGCTATCACTCACATCAATCTAGTGTCGAGGTCAGGAATAGTGGAGCTATACCTCCACTCCCCACACGTCTTCATGGCGTGGTGTTTAATTAATTAAGCACAGGGGAAATTCTACCTTTTGCTTATAACGAGGACCGTCACAGAGTACACTACCTAGTAACGTTACGAGAGTAAAATGTTTGGGGTTATAATGGATGTAGCATTTAACAAAGTTGGGAAATTCTTGAAAAACTAATACTTTGTAGAGCAGAAGGCGATGGGAGTATAACGTTATTATGGATCTCAGGGAGATGGGCTGTAGAATGGAAGTTGCATGGATGTCTTAGTTAGGTCAAACACAACATTACTAAGCTGAACCCTGTGTGTGTTCTCTGAGTCAGTTTATGCGATTTATTGCTACAGGAAAGTGTGCCCTGCTGCATGTGTGGATGACATCTCATTTCATTTCATGTCGTGTCGGAATCCTGTGAACTTGCTCTGACCTTGGTAACAAAATTAATAACATCTAACTTGACTAGCCAGTTAGAGTTTTCTCGAGTTCGAATGTTGTTAGGTCAGGGGCAAAGTTCATTCCAGACCAGACTTCGGTTAGCTAGTGAAAGCAAAAGTGTCATGTGAACAAAGTGGTGCTACTGACGATTTTCCTGTGTGTTGACAATACCACGAGAAAGCAACTTATGCAAAATTCACGGTATATTCGATCCTTTATTTACTTTGTTGCCACGCAGTGTTGCAGAGCTAATGAAGGCAAGTCCGCGCCATTTCCTATGAACAATCTCGGAGGGTTGACATCACACGCCTGGTTGGACAGTTAATGGACCTAAGTGCGCTGCAGTGGCTATTAGCAGTTGTCAACATAAATGAAAGCAAAACATAAAACAACACATGTAGAACTGTAACTGAATACCTGGGGGGGGCAGAGAGTAAGGAGTCTTTTTGGTGTAGGTTAAACACTACTACCTTACAAGTTCTGCCGGTAACAAGGGGCTAGCACTGAATCTGGGGTGGATGCCCTAGAGACAGGAAAACTTTTGGAAAGCTCATGACAGGGGCGCAGTTCTAAAAATAAAAGTTGAAATAAATTGGTATAAATCATGATATGCAACTGTAAGCGGTTAACCTTGCGATCGGTCTACACGCTGGGGCCACAGGAGCGCACAAAATGCGTCTGTTGTAGAAATAAACAAGAGATGCGAAGAATTGCGTGACACCCCACGAAACGCTCACAGCCACTGCTTCGACGCCAAGAGACCGGAAAATAAACAAGTTGTGAGAACTTCCAGCAGGCAACCGGACTGGTTCTAGGTTACTCTGCCCCCACACGGCGGAAATTTGATAAGGTGACCTTAATCATACTGCATCATGAAACTTTATTCTTATGCATAAAACTTAGACCGCCTGTCCGGACGTGGTTTTCACGAGTCGTTCCAGACGGACATCGAGACAACACGGCAAGCCCCATCCAGTTAACATACTGAAGGCGTCACGTAAACCATAATTAGATCAAAATTAAGTTTGTTTGTTAAATCCTGACTGTTACTTGTGGGGAAATGGGGTAGCTCAGTCGGCACAGGGACGGACTATGAGTTGGACGGCTCGTAGTAGTGCTTACGACACTTTTATGATTTCTTCGATAGCTCAAGAGGCTTCTGAGGTTAAGTTCAGATGGCATCCTTGTAGAATGCATAATTTGTAATTGTGGGATGGTTCCTGGTTATAGTACTGCATTTCTTAAGCTGTATAACACGTTGATGAGAGATCTATGAACTTACACAGTAAGACGTTAGTTCTGGTAATTAAATTTCATTTCATTAATAAGCCTATCGTTGCAATAGAACAGTGGTTTATAAGCTGCGTCATATTCTGGGCAGTGCCGTGTGTCTGCCCTTATTAATGAAGATGCATAATGTGGAGCTTAGTATTTCTAATCAGAAAAGCTGAAATGTTTAAGAGGTATGTGGCATGCATAAGTGACGAGAAAATGCGCATAACATTTTAGTCGGAAAGTTAAAAAAATGTAGGGAAGAGATCACTTGGACACCTAGGAGTAAATGGAAAGGTTACGTTAAAACAGGTCTTAGACAAAATGTAAGAATTTGGCCTAGATATATCTGGCTCACGATGGGGCCTAGTTGGGCAGGGGCTCTTGACAACACAGTGATGGATATTCGGACTCCACAGAAGACGAGAATTTTGTTATATATAAACGACTATTATGTTTTCTGGTATGACTCCGCTCCGTGGAGTTTGTTACGCCCATAAATAATGGCGCTTACATTTGGATTTGTGTCAGAGTTGGTTTATCCGCGATTTAAAGGCTCAGTTTTTGCCTGTGAGGGGGCATACATTGGAACCCCTTTCGATAATAAGACGAGCTTATTTCAGCGGTGCAAATATTACGGTAGGACTGCTATAAATATTGTATTTAAACAACTCCATGTGCGCTTTACAACGATGAACTTTGCGATCTACAAAATTAAAACTGTGAACGTTAAATTCGGGTTTGTGTTACCTTTGAAAATCAATACTGAGGTCACTGTATACATTCGTTTTTAAGTAGACCACGCATTACAGGTAAAGTGGGCAAATTTTAACGGAACTTGGTGCTGAAGACAATTGCCTGTGCTGTTGATTCGATTCATAGTGGCGCTTGCGTATGTAATGCTAGATTGATCAAATGTTGCGTAATGTCTCCCATTTACAAGAGGGAAGACAATCAAAAGGCTGCAGTACCTTGTGGAAAACAGGTAACTATTTTGATCTGAGGTTCTCACAGCAGTGACTAAGACCACATTCTTCTGGGAAGTGGCGCCATATAGTCTGGTAGAAGTTAACTGGCTGCTTGCTTCCGCAGCGTACCCTTTTGCTCTTAAGATGGAAGCATTATGTTCCTTCGAAACGTCGGTAACTCCAACCAGGCTACACATTACCACGTCCCAGAAGTAAGTACGTAACAGTTGATTTAAAACTGTGTTAAGAGCGCGTTCATAACTGCGGCGGGCCCCACGTTACTTCGTACAAAGAAATCACGGTTGTTTGCTGAAGCAAGCATATCGCATTTGTTTTGGTTGTACGTCTTGTAATATCTTGCCCCTGCAATGACGTTCGGCAAATAACCACTTGCCTGTTTGCTGTTGAAGGAACATGTGACTATTAGCCAGTGTGGGGGTGTGCTGGTGCAATTACATCCTTCTCGCATGCAGATGGAGACGCCTGCAGACGGCGACGATGCTGTTATAGATGCCGCCGTCGCCATATTGGTCGCATGAATCAACATCCCAAACAAAAGCAACAGAAGCAGAAAGACTAAAGAATTGCGGGCAGCATCCGTTGTTATAGTGCCACCCATTGTAAGATGGCCACAACCATGTCGCCACTCTAAATGCCGACGTCGTCGCCATATGCACCGATGGATGACACAACCACTACCACAGTCACGAGGAAACACTGTGCAAGCATACTGTCAGATTCACACACTATACATTCAAGCAACCTCACTCGACCCGAAATGCCGCGCGACTGCTCTGAGCTGTAGTTGGAGCAGTGGTAGGAGGCCTCGCGCTTGTGCTGCCGTCACCGCTGACGGTGAGCGACGGTACTGCGGTTCTTCGGAAATGAAGTCAGATTTTGCTCGCTTTATGCATGTTTGTAAAATAAACGCATAGTAGGAACAACATCTGCACATATCGCCTATGAAGTAGACTACTGTTTACTAACCGTTGTGGGGAGAACATTTCGGCGCACACGCCTTTGCATGAAGTAGAAACTGAATTTGTCAAAAATGGATCATATTAAGAGAAAATAACGTCCCAGGTATCTCATATAGATCCACAAGTGTTTTTTCAAGCATTTCCGATGATTTTTGATGAAAAAATGTAACGCCCCCGCTCTAAACTAATTAAGCAGTATGCAGAAGACGTATGCAGGAGTGAATGTATAGATCCTCTTATTTTTGACCTCGGCATTAGCTGGAGGTGAGTGGTCAGCCTCATATCCCGGCCTCTTTACCTCCGGAGAAAGAGACCTCAATAAATTTATGATGAATATGTAACGAAATATAATGAACATATTAGATTTACAATAATCCATAATTAATATGCACTAAATGAGTTTATGGCTTTAGTAAACAGATATGGAGGTTAGTGAAGTGTGCAAAATGGCAAATATCGCATTTGGAATGTGCGGGAATATGTACTCGTATTGCTTTGGAGTGCTCTTCTGCATTCACATTTTAAACACGGCACCTGGATGCAAATGCATGTAGAGTGTTCGTAGAATTGCCGTAAAGAGTACCTCCAATTTAAACATCATTAAATCATATAAAAATCTGTTATTAGCTTATAATTACCACTTTAGGACTACGACTATGACATGTCATTAAAAACTTGAATCTGACCCGCGTTGAATGTCGGATGTTGATCATATAGCCGTCTAGAAAGTGCTATTTTCTTATGCGTAGTATAGATAAAGTATTGTTGCAGTCTCAAGAAAATAATAAGCGAATAACAATAGAAGTCGACGGGTTGATGGAAATGAAAGTTTTATGAATCCAGAACACACATTCATTAAACTTGTATAGCTGGATATAGCTCAGTCGGGTGTATCGTTGCACCTGCATCACCGTTCACATCCTCCTCATGCTGGTAATGGTGATAGAAAGTTAAAAATAAAGGAGGAGGTCTGACCTACATAAGTGTACTGTTCATACGGAGTTGCAGAAAATTGGTTGGGTAACTTCCGATGTTCGTCATTGTATCAGAGGATGCACATACGGAGTGAAGGATTGACAGACACTTGTAGATTGGTAATCGGATTGCAAAGAAGGAAGAAAACAATCTGTGCCCTAAAACGACCAAATTCTCAGATGTAAATAATCCCTCAACAACATTATTATTATGATTATTGTTATTATTGCTATTATAATTGGTATTCTTATTATAAGTTGTAGATTCTCGGTAGGAGTGAGGTTATATCTCTTGGCCACCACGTTCAGACCGGCGCTGAGGCCGTCCTAGCCTCCACTCTGACACCGGAGGTAAAGCGAGCGGAACATGAAGACGTTTACTCAACTCCATCTGATGTCAGAGTCTAGAGTGTGTGGAAATTTATCTCCATGTTCCCTATGCACGTTAGTGGCATGATGATGATGATGATGGTTGTTATTATCATCATCATCACCACCTCCACCACCACGATGGCGTAGCTTATGCCTGGTCTCTGCCCGTCTGGCAAGGTTCCACTTTCTAGATTAGAATTTGAAGTTCACCTAGAATATAGGATATCGAAGAAGATAAAATAGTCACCAGAAGGCACTTACAGCGTATCGTGGAACGCGACCTGTGGTGGAGGCATGATATTGTGTTGTAGTACTATCCTAGTACTGTATTTAAGTTCATGCCAATCTCATATCGACCTTTGGTGTTCCCTGGTATAGACTCCTGATTACTGGTGTAAGACCGACCCGTCCTGTCTGTGAGGACAGGACGATTTTCAGTGCTATTTGAAGTTAACAGTACGGTTATCTGCATTTCTGCGATAGCCACATCCCGATGTTCTATCTGCAGGAAATGTATCCACTCATTGTTTGCAACGGATTTGGATCGTCAACTGAACGCGGCCGCTGGATTCTGGTGCGAGTCTTGTGCCAACCGTTTCTCGGAATTTGTCCCAGTGTCCTGCCAACAGCATTCTTAGGCCGATGGAAAATACGTTTGTATTTTAATTGAAGGCTTTCCACTGTAAAGGCTGGTTCTTGCTCTGGTTATCCGTTGTGTGTGTCAAGCGGATTTACGAACGTTCAAAACATCGCCACATCGCGCTTGGAATTGTTTGCATTTTCGCACGGTTGCAATATCCAACAAACAACCTACTTCATGGCGCCATGTAGAAGCGGAGGTGCTAACTATAAAACGGTGTCACATGGGGAGGGGACTCCCAGACCTCCACATAGACGGACCTTTGCCAATCCTACCCAAGCTAACAAGTTAGAGATTGTGTAGCATTGATTGATGTACCTGTAACTTGCAATTAAAAAGACAAACAGAAATAAGCGAATACGCCATAGGGTGTGTACAAAATATAACCGCATAATAAATATACACTGCATAATATAGAATAACCAAGCATTTTCATGTAAGGAAAACGTTCAAGATTTGTTTTTGGGGGGTGGTTCGTGAATTAAGTCCACACTTCCACTTCCACTTCCTTTAAGAACCGTTTTAACTTTATCCTCTTGTCTATGTCTAAATAAATCAGTTTTTCATGTTTCCTGGCTACAGTTTTTCATGAATTTCTGGTCGCCTTTACGCATGCAGTGTGTCCTGCCTATCTTGTTCTTGATTTCTATAATTTAAAGAATGTTTGGAATAGATACCGGTAGCGTGGTTGGTTGCGGCACTATGCCACAAGCCGGAAGGTCGCGGGTTCAGGTCCCGATGAGGTCATTGTATTTTTTTAAATTGACCTAACCCTTCCAGCTGCGCTAGGACCTGGGGTTGACTCAGCCTCTAACAGAAATGAGTACCAGGAATTAATTAAATAATTTTCCTGGGGAGTAAAGCGCGGCCGGCCCGTAGACTGACAGCCTTACCGCCATCTTTGAGCTGATTGTCTAGAAAGTGTGGGACCCTCAACGTTTCACAACCCTATGGGCCTCCACGGCCTGGTACAGGCATAGCTTTACTTTTTGGAGTAGGTACAAATTATGAAGCTCCCTGTTGTTATTTTCTCTACCCTCCTGTTGCTTCTCTTCTAGGGCCACCTATTGCCTACAAAAGTTTGGTGTCAGACACCTTCGGTTTGTATTCTTCCCCCTGAGGTAAGAGACCGGCTTTCATGTCTAGATATAATGCAAGGAAAATTTAACTCTTTTGTTTTTGTTTTTCCTCCTGCCCTCCTCTTGTGGGGGTGGGGTGGCGATGTATGGGTTAATAACGCTATATTTGAGGTGCTTACAGCAGTGACTATGGGGAGTCCTGTATTCTGATGAAAGGCAACCGACATGTTAGAGGAATGTATTACCTCCATCATGAGGGTCAATGAGTAAGCCAAGTAAGAAACCAGCATGAAACAGGCAGCAAGCAGAGCTTTCCTAGGCCTGTATGTACAAACAGTTGACTTTCATTATTTCCCATCGGACTGCAAATTCCCAGAAGACAGAGATCTGTATGGTTTTGGAAGTCTGTCAATGAACAGGTTCCAGTTGGCCAAGGATAAGGTGCAGTAGGTGGCTCCTGTTCATGTGATTAAGAACCTTTATGAAACTTTGGAAGGGGAGGATTTTTCGACCAGCTGAATGATTTATCAGCTTGGTTCTTGGAGTTAGGAAGAGTCCTTGTTATTTGTGATGAAGGCTGTACCATTTGGAGATGCCTTTTAACAATGATAACTTTGCTGATGGGAGAATATAATATAAGAGGAATGAGAAACTCTGAAAAAATTTGTCCAAATGCACAATATGTTTCATTATAAATCTGACATTGAAAGACTGGGTTTCATGCCCACTTTTGCACTACTCAGAAGGTCAGCAGAATACATCCTGCTATGCCAAAGCATATGCAATGGGAACTTGGCAATGCATTCTGACATGTATAACAGCTGCTGTTTGGATTAATGACTCTACATTATCCAGGGCCTTTCTGTCATTCCCATGAGCTGACTTTGCTGTTACCTCTGTTGTGTCAACTGAAGGTGGCATCATGTTATGTCATCTTACCTATCACTGTTATGTTGCAGTTGTCACTCCAATGAACGACTTTTCTTGAAAGACTTTGTACACTGTGTGCCGGGGACAAGTGGTGGACGCCTGTCTCGATGGTTGCAGCCCGACTCCTATGTGGATCCAGCACGCTGTGAGGTGTTGTACAGCCGTGATGATATGAGGTGTGGTTGGCCTGCTATCGTTACTGTTGTCACCAAAGACCAGTATGGAGATGTTGTCCATGTTCCAAATCTCAAGGTGGGTGAATCTCAGTGAATCAGCTTGCTGCTCTGTGTGGCTCTTGGTGCTAAATAAATTGTATATTTGACTGTAGAAAATTATATCGTTTCTACTTCACTTTCCTGATATTAATTATTTCATAGTTCAGTACATAATTTAGTGATAAATACTGTAGGAGTATGCAGAACGTGAAGTGCCTGAATATGTCAATAGTAGTAACACTTCTGTAGAGAGTGGTTGAAATTGGAAACTTCAAAAACTGATTAGGTAATTCTTTATTCATATATTATCATTTGAGATATTTTCTATGGATAAATGGTAAAGTTAATATGAAGAAACCCACTCCTAATATGAGTGAGTGTGTGTTCATGTGTGCACACATATTGCAATGTTTAACTGATCTGAACAGAACTTGTGAGAATGTTTACAGCTGTTTTAGAGGCATGTCACCCTTAAGGAAATTTCTAGTGACTTTATAATCGACCTTTGGTGGCAGCTAAGTGGTTTTTCAAAGAGTCCAAAGAGGGTGTGGAGTCTTGATACCTTTTAATGAACAAGAAGCTTCCATATATATATATATATATATATTATTGCTAGTGGGATGGGACTAAGTCCCTTGTACTGTGGCCACTTCTGGCTTATTGTACCAGCCCCAGATGATAGGGGAGAGGGATTGTGGAGCGATTTGTGGAATGAAGATTGGCAGGGGAAACTGAAGTACTTGGAGAATACCCACCCCAGCGCCACTTTGTCCACCACAAATCCCATTTGACCAGACCCGGGATCGAATCCGGCCCGCCGCGGTGTGAAGCCGGTGACTAACCACTTGAGCTATGGTGCGGCCCATATACAGGGTGTCCCAGGAGGAATGTGCCAAACTTTGGGAGGGTGTTCCTTATGTTAAAGTATGCCGATATAACCCAAAACACCTATGTCCAAAGTTGAACGGTTACGGAGATAATGGCCCGA